AACCATGTGGCCATCTTTAAGAACTGAGAAAATGTGTGTGTTTCTTAGTTTGGGCTGCTAAGCTCAAGTTATAAGCTGGCTGACTTATAAGCAACAGATATTTATCTCTCCCAGGTCTGTAAGGAGGAAGCCAAAGATCAGATGCTAGTATGGTAGAGTTCCAGTGAGAGTCCTCTTCAGAATTATAGGCTGCTGCCTCTCTTGTGGTGAAAGCCAGAGAATGGGAGGCATCTTAGCCTCTAACTTTTATGAGAGCACCAATTCACCCCTAAGGGTTCTACCTTAAATGCCCTGTCTTGGAATGCCACTATACTGGGGGTGGGATTATGACATACAAATTTCAGGAGCACAAACATTCAGTATATAACAGTGAATGTGCAAAATCAGGAACACACTTGAATTTCTTGAGGATTACTTATCTACTTACTGCCCACTGTAAAACTTGGAAAAATTACAGACACATGGAGGCACAGCAGGACCTAGAAGCAAACAAATCTTTAAACAGTATTTTCCTCAATGCTTTAGAAAGGAAATTTGAACTTAATGTACAATTTTACTGCTTTTAATTAAATTGTACTTAATTCACTTAAATTACAAAAATTGAGTGCTTTCCAGTCATAAAGTTGGGGTTAGTTCTCTTATTCAGGAAGGAAGCCTTGGAAAATGCATATAAACTCACTGAGTATACTGCTTATTTGGTGTTGCTACCATGGGATCATTCTGGGACACCTCTCATAGAAACCTGGGACTTGTCTCTCTATAGAGTCTTATTTGGGCTGTAAGTCATCTGAGTCATTGAAGGAATCCTTGGCCAGTACAGACTCACAGGTTCTCGTAGGTTACTAAGAATGCCTTTACTTAAGTGAGGGGTGCACATCCTTAACTGCTGTTACCTTAGAGACAGGGAATGAGATAATTTGGAAAGCAAAACACACCTATCACTTAAGTAGAGAGTGCAGAAAATGGAAAAGGAGCTATTGTTGGAGGTGTAAGCCCTTGAGGAATGTGAGTGGCCAGGTCCCTCCTCTGAGGACCTTCAACCGCCAGGCTTCACCCACTCAAATTGCCTTACAGACTTAAAAAGCCCAAGCTCAGGACTTGAAATCTCACCAATCCCTGAGTTTACTTCAAGTTCTGGACTTGAAATCCACCAATCCCCACCCTAGAAAGCCCCCCCATTCCCCAGAAAAGCTATATAAACCTCGTCTTCTGCTCAGTTCTCTGCTGCTTCTCACCCAAGCAGAGGCAGCCCCCCTCCTGGGGTTTTTCCTTCCCAGTGAGTCTCCTGTGTGAGGTTTGTTATAGGTGTGATTTGGTGGTATTCCTTGTCTCCCCACTGCAGGATACCTTCCCATCCGAGCACTTATGTGGGGGTTGGGGGCATGGTATAACTATCAGAACCCATTTTAACCTAGCATTCCTTGGTTACCAGGGCACAGACAGTGGTCATGGATCTGTGAAAAGGCTACTGACAAAATCTTTATACTTGGGAGTCCGGGAAGGAGGTGAGCTTGGCCAAGCTGTGACCCACGGTGGAGGGTCATTCTTTAGGGGCTGTGTTAGCGGTTGTCTAGCATCTCCTCTCAGACTGTAAGAAAGGCTGAATGTCAGTAAGAAAGAAGGGGAGGTCCAGCTGTTGGCTCTGGGTGTGGCACAACCTCCTTCAATGGCTCCTATCGCCTGTATTCTCAAATGATTCAGGCAGTGGTAGGGAAGGTCTCAAAAGAGAGAGATAATGAGGTCCCTGCATATTTGGCAGTTAGTTTTTCTAACATTAATTGGAAAATTAAAGCGACAAAAGAGAGTTTGTATCTCAGGGTTGTAGGTAGGGCAGACGTAGTGATTTCACTCACCAGTGTGTGTTGGGGCTTTTCAAGTAATCTGTTTATTATCTTTGAAAGTCCTACAAAAATCTCCCCAAACATTGTGGCCAACAGATGCCTATATCACACGATTGACTTGACTTCTGCATTCTGTGTTTTATGGAGGAGCACCAGGCAAAGAGCCGCTCATAGAGTATTCTCATAAATTATGAAATCCTTTTCTTCCACTGGCAAGTGTTCCACGTTACATTCGCATATAAAGGGAGCAACGACTCCATATTTCATAGGAATTATTTGTGAAGCCGCATCAAAGGTGAAGTCACTTTGTGATGGAAGGCTGATGAACGCTGAATGTGAAGCCATTGAGAATAAGACTGTAGTTTCAGGAAAAACATGTTCAGGATTTTCCTTCTTAAATTTACTTTCCATTTCAGGAAATAAATGTTAAACACTATCTTCCCCCCACCCCCAGCCCACACTTGTTTCAGGCTTTTCCTAGCTGAAATATGCAAAGATAGAGTTAAGCCATACAACCAGGGAGTTTTAAGGAAGCCTGGAGTGCCAGATGCAGGTTTGGGTATAGACCAGCAACGCCAGGAGAGCACTGTGTGCTCATGGCACAGAGGTAGGTGGCAGCGTGGGTGTGCTGGAGTCCCGAGAAGTGCAGGTGCTGGCACTGGCTTTTTTGGCATCAAGTGAGGCTGTTGTCCTCTGCCCCTCTTCACTGCTCCATTCCACAGCAACACAAACAGAAACTCCAGGGTTTTCCCCAGCTCTCACCCAGGACAGTCTGTCTGCAGCAGCGCTTGGATAATTGCAGCAGATAGTACTGTTTCTTCCTGACCAGGTGCTTAGGAAGTGTCGTCTCTTCACTTAACCCTGTGCAAAGAGAACATTCCAGAAGGACAGGGTCACTGGTTCACTCCATCACCCAGTTCTTCCTCAAGGAACCCCGTGAGGCAACCTAAACCTTGTTGCTACTCAGTGCACATCATACAGATAATTCTTCTTCCCTCACAGCTCCCTTAACAATGAGCAGTTAACTCACAGTCTAGCTGAAGCCACAGAATCACTGCTAATGGTGTCTCCATCTTTCCTTTTCCCTGCGCCAGCTCACTGAACACTCAGGTTTAGGAGCCCTACAAGCTGGCCAGGGCTCTCCAAATACAATAGTTCTTTCTTTTGCAATTCACAAAGGAAGGGGAGGTGAAGAGGAGAGGAGAAAACAGGAAAGGAGAGGGAGAGGGGGAGGGAGAGGGAGAGGGAGGGGGGGAGG